GACATAATTACAATTTAATTGAATTTTGGATTTTCCCGTCGATTGATTGGACCGAAGTGCTCGGTCTCACGTTGACATGTCGGCTTCTTGAGCAGGCGCTTCGACGATGTCTGGGCATTTAATTAGTATTTAATTGGTGGATGGTGACTAGCAGTGGAATCCAGGATGCACATTTCGTCCTATTTGGGACTCGTCACTGCTCAAGAAGCCGACATGTCAACCTGAGACCAAGCACTTCGGTCCAATCAATCGACGGGAAAATCCAAAATTCAATTAAATCAATATGGCCCGTTGCACAAGAGGTGGCTCTCGTGGCCCAAGTGGTCTAGTGGATAACACTTTGGCGTTTGAAACTATGGGCACTGGGTTCGAGCCTCGGTGGGAACACCATCACTCACTGAGAAATGCAGGTACATCCAGATGACGAGTCCCAAATAGGACGAGATGCGCATCCTGGATTCCACTGCTAGTCACCATCCACCAATTAAATAATTACAATTTGACAAATTAAACAATGTTTGAAGTAAAATAAATAAAAGAATTCCATGCATAAGCACAACACACTAACACAGAACATACACTAATCTACTCGTACGATATACGGTTCTGTGTGTGTGAACTATAACAACCTCAATCAATTAATTAGTGTAAGGAACAGAGTTCCTCACCTTCTCACACTCTCTCGCCCTCTCTCACCTCCCCCAAACACACTTCATAAATTGCTTGTATATATTATTAATTGTGTAGTGTGTGTATGTGTGTATCGATAATTTTTTCACATCAATTTTATTTTCTTCATTAATTAATTGATTAATTATTTAATTAAACTAAATCAAATAATTAATTAATTAATTATTCTAGATTTTGGAAAATTATGCAGTTGGTTGGTTGTTATTATTTATAGGAATTAAAAGATTTTTTGCTTAGTTGGCTTCGTTTTCTGTACATTGAACACATTGAATATATAGGGAGGTTTGTTTAAATCTCAGCGGTACATATATATGTGTATTGATTTTTATTTTATTTTAAGATTATACAACATATATATATGTCTAATTTCTTTGATTTACTAAAAAAATATCTGGTATGATCAGAATATTTCTTTGTTATTGTATATCACTGACTTGTACAGACATTTATTAAGTGGAGAAGCAACTAATTAGCCTAGGGAACCAATAAGTAGGTGTGCTTGGTTCGAGTCCTGCCCGCCCCCCCCATCTACTTTGAGCTTAGGCAATTTGGATAGTATCATTAGCTCTCACATATAATATCCATGACTTATGGTCTGATATATGTGAAAGAGTCAGGGATGCCTAAAAAAAAAACACATGGCATCAATCCATAAAATCCCCCCATTGTTGGTTTGAGGCATAGAAGTAGGTAGGTGTCGACTGTCCTAGTTGGGGTTCGCGAAACGCTAATAACAAATAGGTTGCAGCTTTTTGCTGATATGGCTCAAAAACTGTTCACAATAGAGCAAATGTATGGTTGTTTTTTTATTCCCCAGTGGAACATAGGGGGCTTCAAGCTAGAGACTTGAAGTTTCTGTAACAGTGGTGTTTATTTTTACGGGTTGGGGTTGATAGCCTCATGCCCCCTCCCAACCTTCCCTCTTTGCCAGTCCTATTACTGGCTTGGCGAGGTAAAGGAGTGCGTCGGTGGCCGGGGATAGAACCGCGGATCACCTGCATGGCTGGCGAGCATTCTACCGCTGTGCCACCGACGCAAATGTATGGCATCCACTCTTTTTCAATCTCCTACATATATTGATTAAATCATCAAATTCTCTTATGTAATTATTCTTTCCCTGTGTTTGTGTGCAATATGGAATATGGTAATTTCTGTACTGCTGTACTTCTGTCTAAAGAAGTTCTCCACTGAAAGTCAGCTGAGTAGCAGCTAACTATAACGAACTAACTAGCCTTTTAAGAGTTTGTTTTTAGAGGGTTTGATTTGTCTGAAAGTTTGATCACAGATTTACGTCAGTTAGAGAACCACTAAAGACCAGAGAGTACTGGATAGTTGTTTCGTCCCACTTTGGGTCTCTTCATCAGTACGCAGGCCTAGTGGCTGAATGGGTGCGTATTGCTGATACAGCTGTCCAGTACTGCCTGGTTCTCAGTGGTGATTCTCTAACTGATATCAACCCGTGGGGCCAAACCTGTCTGTAATTAACCTTCTAGACGAAATCTTCGGGGTCAAAAGTGCAAACATTTATTTCGACGTAGGAAAAACAAGACAGTACTGAAGACAAATTGAACAGATCGCGGTGTGTGGCGGGCGCTACTGACTAGATTTATCAGTAGTATATTAAGAGACGATCATCGGTATAAAAATATCCAGTAGCGAGAGAGTAAATGAACAACCGGTACTGTGGTAAAATATGGGAGAAATGAAAAGAAGACAAAGAAACACAGTGCGAAGGGCAGAAGCAGCAAAACACGGAGGGTTTGTGCAAATAACAATTTTTAGATAAGGTGTACATTATTTCCCTACATATATAGAGATGTCAGTGCGTCGGTGGTATAGCGGTTAGGACGCTCGCCGACTATGCACATGGTCCGGGGTTCGAGCCCCGGCCACTGACGCACTCCTTTACCTCGCTAAGCCAGAAATAATGCTGGTGAAGAGGAAAGGTTGGGCATGAGGCTAGCAACCCCATCCTGTAAAATCAGCACTGCTACAGAAACTTCAAGCCACCAGCTTGAAGCCCTATGTTCCACTGGGGAACGTGAAGGAAAAAAAATATATAAGATATCAAATTACAAATAAATGTTCCGTTACCAAGTCTCTTGTCTTCTACTGTTAATCCAGGATACTGACTATTGTGGAGGAAAGCTTTACAAATAAAAGTCAGGACAAAGGAACTGTATATCTTATACAGCCGAAGGATATCGTCTCTGCCTGCACCATAGGATGAGATGGATTGGAGTCTCCGGAGGTGTAAATGCGCCTGGCTGACGAGTGGCATTAAATACGAAACCTATGCTCAGCAGCACTTTCCGACGATTACCACTATCTATCAAATAATGGATTACTGTTTCATTCTAATTTCCGAACTCTTCAGAAATGCGATAAAATACCTTCGGGAAGAAATCCCGTCCAACCTAGGAGGTCAGTTGAATTCCCATGCGAACACATAAGCATTCTTTAGTCAAACGCGTTAGAATCTCCAGTCCTTCCATGATTATTACTATTATTCTCTGGCCTAACGTTTAAACAACTTCATATTAATTAGTTATCAGTTAGAGAACCATTGAAAACCAGCACTGGAGTAATGGACAGCTTATTTCATCCTAGTTCGCCACTCATCATCAGTGAGCACCCACTGGAGTTGAAACTCAGAACCTTCGGGTTACAAAGCAAATTTGTAGACCACTCAGCAACTGGGACTCGAATCTATAGACCATGAATTCTAACTCCTATCAATTCGTGATTTTAGTGAGACTGGTAGGTAGTAAGCCAATGTCATCTGTGGCGACCCACAACTTGTTGGACACCCCGTGGTCACGACTTCTCACCAGAACTTCAGGCAATTTTGTCCTGTAGCTAGTGAGCATTAGTGAGCATCACATTTAATATTTAAGAGTTAATTCTTAGGGATTTCATTTGTTTCCCTGGTTTTCAATTATTCTCTAACCCATGTCAATAAGAGGTCAAAATTGAAACTTTAGATTACCTAATATTCTACATACCTCAATAATAATAATAATAATACAGTCAACACTTGAATATCAATGAGATGCTCACTAGTGACTTGCCCTATTCAGGTAGGTAGTTGCCTGGGGTTCTAGTGAGAAGTCGTGACCAGTAGGGTGCAGCAGGTCGGGTGTGAGGACAAATACTCGCGGAAGACATTGGCTAGGGGTCGCGCTATGTCGTGAATTGGCAGAAGTTAGAATTCATGGACCATTGGATCGGGTCCCAGTGGCTTAATGGTATACGAGCTCGCCTTGTAACCAGAAGGTCCTGAGTTCGAACCCTGCCGGCGGGTGCGTACTGCTGAAGAGTCACAAACTAGGACGAAACAGCTGTCCAGTACTCCCAGGTTTTCCAATGGTTCTCTAACTAATGTCAGCTCATGATGAAAATAATAACAGTAACTGACAAAGGCCATTGAATTCCAGCCCAAGGGGATGAATGGTCATTATTTATTTTATTTATTTAAACGCAGAAGAAAAAAACTTGGTACAATATGGCACCAAGAAAGATGCGCCACACAATAATAATAATAATAAAACAACATAGATTAAAAGTAAAAATATAAGTAGAAAACGGATAAAGAACTTCATCTGGAAGGAAAACAGTCATGTTTAACAAGTTCAAACAGTATTCGTTAACTATCATCAGGAAGGGAAGAAAGAAGGAAATTGCAACACGTTCGCCATTGATTACGATTCTTGGCCATATCCGAGCCATCGATTCGAGCTATCTCGCGGACCCCAACCAGGGAGTCGTGACGCACCAACCGATGCTAATCTAGCACAAAAATCCTTCATCCCACGACGCCACGTCATGGACTGACCACCCCTCCGCCTTTTCCATCCCGTCCCAGGGCTGGCTAGCGAACAGAGACCTGTACGGAAGCCTCTGGGATAACATTCGCAGCACATGTCCAAGCCACCGGAGCCGGTGTTTCCAGATGACGACACTCAATGAATGGTGATCTCCACTGTGTTCAAACACACGCCGCTGGGACATGAGTCCAGCCAGTTTAGCTTGTTGGGTCACTGCGGTATTCAAGCCCGACCACCACGGCAAGGCAGCCGTTGTCGGCCGGGGGTGAATGGTCAAGAAGCCTAATAACCTGAAGGTACCCGGTTCGAGCCCAGATGGATGTTCACTGCTAAAGAGTTGCAAACTAGGACGAAACAACTGCTCAGTGTGCTCCCTAGTTTTCAATGATCTTTAACTGATGTTGGATCATGACGAGATCCATATTGAAAAAAAATAATGACAATAGTAATGTAAGAATAACATGAATGATAAATCTATCTACTCTAGGAGACAAACAAATAGAAGAAGTACTTACCACCGCCGCTTCCTCCTCCTGATGGTCCAATGATACTTGTCATATATTTTTGTGGAGTTGTATCCTTTTTACTCAATAAATTTAATACATTCAATACAACAGTTGGATTTTGTTGTTGTTCCCATTTTGTGATGCCAGCCATTGTAAGCATATGAGACCATTCTGGTGGCATACCCTAATCGTATATAGAAGGCAAGAGAGAAAAATGAAATTACACACTTGGCAATGAGCTAAATATATGGTGTGACGATAGCTGATGATAATACTGCCTAACAGAGTTGCGCCCAAACATTTTGGTTAAGTGAAGTGGCGGTTTCAATTCATCAGCATTCATTCATTGATTAGTGGAACCACACACACACACAGCGTCAAACGGATGACCCACCTACCAGGAAGCAGTGTGATACTATATATATATATATATATATATATACTACTGTGGATTGATTGAGGCGAGTGTTCCTCACGAAAAAGAAAGGGAGAATACGAACGTCTACTAGTGCTTACAACAGGACTGGTGGGCATTGAGGTGTACCAAGGGGAGCTAAAAAAACCCTGGTTACAAACCTATGGTGTACATGGGCTATAGAATCCGAACAGATTAAATGGTGTGTGAACCTGTTCCAGACTCTGCTTGTCTACCTTGTGGATCAGGCTTCAAGTTGAAGGCAAAAGTCGGGGTGTGGCAAAAGCCTTAGGGAGACCAGTCAACAGTTGTGTCTCCTTTTAATGAAAGTAAATGTAAGTATAGGGACATGGAACTTCCTCGCCATGTTTAAGGTTGACAATGTTCCGTAGATTGCAAACGAAATGAGAAGATATGGTGTAGGAGTGCCAAGAATCTGTGAACTCTTCAAATTATTGACTGGAGAGTCAATAATCCACTCCAGTCTAGCGGAGGAAGAACATGAGCGCACCGAGGGTGTGATTAATATAATGCCACAAACAGCATCGAAAGTTCTCATGCAGTGGGAACCAATCGCCTCCAGGATAATGACAGAAAGATACAACTCAAGAAGAAGGAAAATTACAATTATACAGAGCTACTCACCCACAAATAATAGAGACCAAGAGAAGAGGGACTTTTACAGACAACTGCAAGCTGTAATGGACAACACCCAAGTCAAGCGGCAGAAATAAAACTTCCAGAGGATGATATAAATTCCAAACTGAAAACATACTACACAGGAAGAGAAATCATCATGGATCAAGAGGCTGTCTGTGAAAAGAATGAGAACGAAGAACTCTTTGCAGACTACTGAGCATTTAATGATTGCAGACAGGCAGTGGGTGGTACACAAGGTGACATGAGTTTCATCAGATGCACATATCGAAATTCAGGTAAACTTCATCTCAATTTCAGAAAAGTGGGGAAACAATCTACTAGACACAAAATTGAGAAGAGTAGCAGATGTAGGCTCACGCCACTGTCTAGTGGAAGGGACATTCAAGGTCAGGTTGAAAGGCTTCAAAGAGACTGGAGATAGACAACAATCTAAGCTCCACATTCTGGAACTGAAGTCCTACACTACAAAGGACACTTTCACTGCAGTCATTAAGAAAACGCCGGAAACATTAAACAACATCATCGAGCAAGCCTGAGTGGAAGAACACTGGCGACATGGAAGGAGTTCTGTGTATACATCTTAGGCAAAAAGGAGAGGCAGGACAAGTACACCTGGGAGCTGATAGAGAGAAAAATGGTGAGATGGAAGATAAACCAGCGCAGAGACGGAAAACGAATGGAGAAGATGAGTAAAAACCTATAGCTCATTGAACAAAGGAGTAAAGAAGACTGATAAGGAAGGTAAAGGACGCTTTTATGACATACTTTCACCTTGAGCAGAAGAGGCTACGAGTAAGAGACACTTTAGAACACTATGTCGAAGAACCAGGCAGCTATAGCGAGGAAATCGACAGTGAATAAAACTAAATTACCAAATAGGTGGGACAGAGAAAACAATGCGCTGATCACTTCAAACAACTCCAGAATCGTTTAGAAATAACACTACCACTCCTAGCAGATACGGGACTGCATATGAACACACACACGCACACACGTCCCACAACAAAATCATAAGTCATGAAGGCCATAGAGTTACTGGAAGCCAGTAAAGCAGCAGGACCGGATGTAAGCTCCCCAGAAGCTCTGAAAACGCATCCAGCGGACAAGCTCACGATACCATTGTAGGTGTGCAAGAAAGGAAAGGAATGAGAAAGACTACCTAGCCAAGACGGCCTGGAATGATGCCCATGTCCACGCGAAGCAAAATATTCAACCACAGAATCTTGGAGAAACGAAAAGACGTCGTGGACGAAAGACTTCATGCGAATTCAGGGAAGCTCACTGAAGTGTTCGAAGTCAGGAATAAGAAAAGGTTGGTGGAGTGAATCATGCCACAGATCGTGGTGCATGGAGAAGAGGGCTATACATTGGACTGACAAAGAGACACTAGAAGATCTGGATTTCGTCAATGATTTTATGCCTCATGTCGCAAAAATATCCAAGAATTAAAAGCGAAAACCAACAAAGATGATGTGAAGGTATCTATCCGACTAATCACAACAAATGCCAATCGCTATAGATGGGACAAATCTAAGTCTCTTCTACTTACCTGTGTAACATCGTCTCAATTACATGTGGCACGTAAAATCAAGTCAGGCGTTCATTACTCTAAAATCGTAAACACCTGTCTTCGCTTGACGGATACTGAGGATCAGATGGCAGGCTAGGAAGGGACTCTGGTGACGAGATGAACTGAACATACGCTGAGGTTACCATTCAAATGACATCACACACGAAGACTTAGAGTGGAACTCGAATGGGAAGTCATGTGTTGAGTGTCCGAGGGTGATATGAAGGGGATCACATAAGGAGGAAATAAAGCATGTGGGCAGTCATGAAGCCAGCTGAAACAGACTAACAACTGTTTGGCATTCGTCCCACTGGGACTCCCACCCAACTTCCATCGTTTCAAGTCCCAATGGGAACAAAATGACTCAGTCTCTAAGGGTTCAGTTGACGAGTCCCAGAGTAGGACGAAACACACATCCTCTATTCCACTGCTAACCATCATCAATCAGAAAAAAACTTCAACAACAAAAAAGGACAAAATAAGGAAGGAAAATTTTTAATTAACAAAACGAAAAAAAGAAGAAGAGAAAATTGCCTACCTCAAATTCTCCAGTCACTGGATCAATTGTTATATGAATTTTATGCATCACATTAACAGGTGCAGAAATATTTGGCATAATAGATGGTTTAAACTTTTGTAGTCTACTTTTACACTTCTTTTTCTCACGCTTTTCTTCTTCTAGTGGAGTAAGCGGCAAGGGTTTATTTGGTTTAAAGGGGATATTTTCAATGGAGCTATGCAGAGAGAGAAGTGAAATAATAATATGCTATCCTACTTACCTTCCAATAGGTGCACTTGTTGTGCGTAACGGCGGTGCTGGAGTCCTACCGCCAACAGCGCCACCTCCATTACTGACTGTCGGATCAGTGGTGGCATCAGAATTATGACTAGGATTATTTACCCAATGCTATGTGAAACAAAAAATAATAATGATAATAATAATAGGTTAATTTGCTGAATAGAATTAACATTGGACTTATTACATAATAACAGTTAGTAATGATGTAGTGCGTCAGTGGTTCAAGGGTGGAATGCTCACCAACAACTGCAAACGTGGTCAGGGGGTCGATTCCCGGCCACCGGCGCACTTCTAAACCTCGCCTAGTTTATTAGCCAATAGTAATCCAGGGAACACATGTCCTAACCATCTCAGTTACATCGGCTGAGGAAACTGACTGGCTCCAACATAGAACTTTGGACAGACGTGCACCAGTTCGAGTTGCCACACTCCCTTCATGCAGCACACAAAGCAAGAGAAGAGAGTAAAGGGAGGTTCAAAAGACAGATAATAAACAGAGGTGTGAGGCAAAAAGAATAGTAATGTGGAAGAACAATAGAGTTTCATTGGATATGATAAATCACAAAGAGTAAATGCATCTGCGCCAGCCATTGTCTCCAGCCGTCATTGATTTTTATCATCTCGAGGACCCCAACCAGGAAGTCTACACTCCCTTCCTACGTGGCTCGCTTAAACTAAGTGTTATGGATTTCATTGACTGATGAAGTCATGTTTTGTTTTGACCACCATTTGCCAGTTCTTTTCCAACCATGATCCATCCTATGTCATCTAACATTGCCCGTTGTCGAGGAAGGCGATGATGGCTAGGCATGCGTAACACATGTCCCAACCATCTTAATCGATGTGACTTCCCAACATCATCGATTGATTTCCCCTCCCACCTACCTAGCACTCGATCAAAGCCTAACCTCAATATTGCTTACCCTACTATACCACCACCTAACACGGGAGATACATCGCAGACAACTATGATAAAAGACAGCGATAGCTCGGTGTATGTAACACATGTCCTAGAGAACATCTTAGTCGATGCAGCCTCAAAACTTTATCTGATGACTTTCCCCCTTACTTAACACTTTCCTCTTGGCCTCATTTTTCTTGACCATATTATACCACCTAACACGAGAAATCCAGGGCAGAACTAAATGAAAATTAAGAGTGTATATCCATGACAGTGTGTCGGTGGCATAGAGGTAGGATACTCGCCGACCATGCATGTGGTCCGGGGTTCGATCCCCGGCCACAGACGCACTCCTCCTTTACCTCGCTAAGCCAGTTGTAAGACTGGTAAAGAGGGAAGGTTGAGCATGAGGCTAGCAACCCCATCCTGTAAAAATAATCCCCACGGCTACAGAAACTTCAAGCCTCTAGCTTGAAGCCCCCTATGTTCCACTGGGAATGTAAAGGAATAAAAAAAAATATCCATGACAAACACAACTTAGTGTAACCGTAGCATGAAAATTAATTGCCCACAAACAGACAAAATAAAAAGTGTGGAGTCGGGTAATACTCTTGGGAACTGTTTTCAATGAAGTACTCGTAAAATGTAAATCGATTATTAGAGTCAATTGTCACCATCAAGTTTGGAAATACGGCTAGTGCACACACCTGGTGTACACACCTTTATATATTCGAATCTGACATGAGACGAAAGTTTAATCAACACACACAGAGCATGAGAGCCTCACAAACCTTCGGGTTTCCTTCAATTCACCGTCCTCAGAAAACTTAGCACCGGTCCTCTGGTTAGAAAGTGAATGTTTATGAAGCTGTGGCTAACTGGTTCAGGTTCAGGTTCCACCACCCTAACCACCTGCTTCAGTTCGGGCAGTCAATAAGTATCACTAGCGGTCATACAATGCAAAGGATAGCCAATGGTTATTGCAAAAACATTCCACTTTTTTTCCAAAATCACTAAGTTACTAGTGTCAGACGGGTGACCCTATGTTAAATTATCAGTGACCGTTTGCATCACGTATCAACTCAAAACTTGGCTTTCATCAATGAAGTCTTTAACTATTGGTTCAAGCCATTTAAGGAGGTGTAGACTGTTTGGCTAAGGTTCTCGAGACTTGAAGAATCAATAACTAAAGACTGTTGGTTATATGAGTCAAAATCATTCTCAATGGTATAGCAGACTCATTCATTCTTTGTAATCTCCAAGATTCATTGGACCTCTATGTTCCTGCATCTTACTATTCTTTCTACCGTACATTCCTGCTCACTAGAGTTCTTTTGAATCTCCTTTCCTCTCTGTTTTGTCTACCTTTGTGGGCTATATATGGAGTGCAGTAACTTGAACTACTACATTTACGTGCAAAGTTTTACTCTGAAAACACCGTCAGTCAGTTAGTTCTTAGAAGAGATGTGACATTATTATTATTATTTCCTTTAATTCCTAGAGGAACATAGGGCTTCAGCCGTGCGTCTCCATTGCGTTCGGTTCTCTGCTAGAGTCTTCACCTGGCTCCAAGTCTACCCACACGTTTTCATCTCCTCTTCACATGACCTTCTCCAAGTCACCCTTGCACTGACGACCAACTCGCCGCTTCCCTTTCGGGTTCCACTCGAGCAATGGCTTGTCTAGTGATGTCACTTGATGGTTTCCTCAGAGTATGGCCAATCCAACTTGTTGCTTTTCGCTTGCATATCTTCCAGTTTGTGGGAAATCAGACATATATCATCGGCGAAGTCCAGATCCTCCAAGTTTTTTGTGTGAGTCCATTTTATGCCTGTTTCCTCATTGCCCGCTGTTTGTCGCATTATCCAGTCTACTGCAATCAGGAAAATCATTGGCGATAGTAGGCAGCCAGCCTTGTCTTACTCCTGTCCTCACTTCGAAGGATTCCGTAAGTTTCCCGTTGTGGATTACTTGGCATGCAGCATTGTCGTACAGCTGTTGGATGAGATGTATAATTGTCGGTGGCACCCCGTAGTATCGAAGTAGTTGCCAAAGCACCTCTCGATCGACGCTGTCTGTCGAAGGCCTTTTCAAAGTCGATGAAGTTGAGATAGAGAGGTGACTGCCATTCCAAGCTTTGTTCAATGATGATCCGTAATGTGGCCATTTGATCAATACATGACTTGTTTCTCCTGAATCCAGCCTGTTCCGGTCGAAGTTTTTCATCCAGGGCTTGTTTGATTCTCTCCAGGATGATGCGGCTTAGTATTTTGCTTGGGATGGACAGAAGCATAATTCCGCGCCAGTTCTTGCATTGACTTAAGTCTCCTTTCTTTGGTAGTTTGAATAAGTATCCTTTTTTCCAATCCTCGGGTACTTTGCCTTCTTTCCACACCTTCTCCAGTAGTGGCGTCATCAAGTCCGCTGTTGTCTCTGAGTCCATTTTCAATGCTTCTGCTGGGATTCCATCTGGTCCTGCTGCTTTTTAAGCTTTTAGCATCTTGATTGCCTTCAGGACTTCTGATTTTGTCGGGGGGTTGGTGTTCACTGGTAGCTCTGTCTCCGTTGTTGGTATTGTTGGGCGCGTTGTAGGTGGTGGTCGATTTAGGAGTCTTTTGAAGTGTTCAGCCCGTGACTTATTATAGTCTATGGGAATAACTTCTAAATTAGAGGAGTTTAGATTTCAAAATAAGGTTTCACCGACCCCACCCGTCAATTATCAAATATAACTTCATAACCTAGTCACAATAAAATATCCTGTATTGTATAACTAAGGTGCAATATATAGACTGTATTGAAATTATCTCACACTGGTTTAAACAGTCGACTTTTCCACAAATCAGTTGAACTACAAATGTTACCTGACCCACTGAAGTGTAGAGATGTAGTCAGCTTATTCCTTGGCTTAAGCATACAGCTTTCACATAGCCAATGGACTTCACAGTCGAATCCCTTTCTGCTTTTCCCAGACTGAGTAGTATTGACAACTCGTATAAAATACGTGTAGTTTATATCTCTGTACATCAAATATCTGTTCCAGGTAAGTGAATTTCAAATAAAAACTGAGGTGATCCAATTATTTCCGAAATAATAACTGTGCCTTACAGCCTACTGTGGAAGTTGTCAAAAACGACTGATGAGCCACACATAACTGACTGATTTTTTCAACTTAGAACTTTGTACAAACGTGAAGCAGTCGAAGTTAGAACTCTCCATAAAGCAAACAAACGTAGACAGAAAAGAAAATTTTCGAAAGGAATATATAGGGGAGTAATGAGAACTTATTGGATCTGAGAGATTGCAAGAGGTGAATGCATTTGAGCCATTGAGAAATATATTGAGTCAAATCACGTACAGCCTTAACCCACTGATTCTTTGCGTCTCAAGGACCCTAGTTAGGCAGTTTACGCCTCCCTGTGACTTAAATGAACAGTGGAAGACTTCATGGATTGATTACAAGTTTTGATTTTAACCACGCCCAACTTTTTTCCTATTTAATCTTATGTCAACTGACATTGCTCGACGAGGAAGGCGATGGTTAGGTATGCGCAACACGTGTCTTAGCCATCTCAATCGATATAGCTCCATCCAACAACCCCATCAACTGACTTCGCCTCCTTACCTAACACTTTAAGCCTAACCTCAACATTACTCGTCACGTTATACCACTTAACACGGGAGGCTGAACGCAAACAACTGTAGTCAAAAACAGCTAGCCTCTTCATACCTTTTACTTTCAATCGCCGCGCCTTACAACCATACAGAGGGTTGGAGAGAACTGCTGAGCAGTACATACGTCCTCTGGTCAATAGCCAGCCCTGATATTATGTCTGCATTAGAAATTATGTAAGTTGGCGAGTGCCACAAGCACCTTTAGCGCCCGTTGTGAGAATTCGTCAGTAATCAGTCTATCAGGTCTGATGCAACTTCCCAAATAAATGACATGATCAACATGCTCTACCACTTGACTCACTATCTTTAAACTGGAAGTTAGTACCCGCCAGTGGTGCCGGATCATCCTACATTTATCAGGGAGCTAGATATAACATGCCTCCTCGACTTCTGTGGCAAATACGACTATTATTAACCAGAAAGTAATAGCATTCCACTAAGATGTGAATTTAACTCACGAAACCATAGGGTTAATATGTTTATTTATCATCTCTACATCTCTACGCTCGGTAGTAGCTTGTTGAAGTTTGGAGTTTTTAAAAACAAACAAAACATATTTCTCACATTAGAAAAGATATAGCCAAATTATTTCGGTTTGAAAACTACTTCTTGAAATAATTATCAACTGTAACACTGACAGAATACACCTTTACTATCACACAGAGGCACACAAAAGCTCCCAAGAGCACTAGATTTGGAGTAAAAATGACATATGTACTGAGCGGCAGATAGCTCTGTCTTTCTTTATAGCATTGGGACGTCTCTGGCGTAGACGTGATATCCGGCTATCGACCAAAAGGCGGGTGTACTGCTCAGCAGTCCGCTCCGTCCTCCTTAATGGCTGTGAGCGAGACCTGGCCATTGAGAGTGGAAGACATGAAAAGACTAGCTGTTTTTGATCATAGGTGTTTGCGTTCTATCTCTCAAGTGAAGTGGTATAATGGGGTGAGCAATATTGAGGTTAGACCATTAGTCGAGTGCTAGGTAAGGAGAAGGGAAATCAATCGACGAGGCTGTGAAGCTACATCGACTGAGATGGTTAGGACATGTGTTACGTATACCTAGTTATCGATCACCTTCCTCGACGGGCAATGTTAGATGACATAGGATCAGGCTGGAAAAGAGCTAGCACGTGATGGTCACACCAAAACATGGCTTCACCAGTCAATGAAATCCACAACAGTTAGTTTAAGCCAGCCACGTAGGGAGGTGTAGACTTCCTGTGCTGGTTGGGGTCCTCAGGACGGTAAACACCAATGGCTGGAAACAATCGGTGATATGGCTACAAATCGTTTTCAATGGCAACGCACATGCATCCACTCCTTGTGATTATAACTTCCAATGAAACTATATTGTTTTTCGTTATTACTATTCCTTTGTCTCATATCCCTGTCTACTGTCTCTATTTTGCATTTCTTCTACTTTCTTCTCTTGATTTGTGTGCTACATAGAGGGATGTGGCGACTTGAACTGCTGCACATCGGTGCAAAGTTCTATGTTGAAAACAGACAGACAGACAGATTGGGACATAGCTAGTGAAATTAAAGGATATGAAGAGGCTAGCCATCTTTGACCATAGGTGCCTGCGTTCTATCTCTTTTGTCAAGTAATATAATACAATGAGTAGTAATACAATTAGGTGTACAGGAAAGTCAGTGAATGAGGTTGTGAACCTTTGTCGACTGAGATGACGGCAAGTACATGTGTTACGCATGCCAAGCTATTAAATTCCTCGTCGAGCACTGTTACCCGACCTATAGTCAGGTTGAAAGAATTCCCAGGTGGTCAAATCAAAATATGGCATCAGTCCATGAAGTCTTCCACTGTCACTGTGACTTACTCAAGGAGGTGAAGGCTACCTAACTGTGGTCGTCAAGATACAAAGTATCAATGGTCGGAGACTGTTGGTAATGAACATTGCTCAAAATCCTTCATGATCCCGCAAATACATTCACCTCCTGGGGTTCTCCTAGATCTAATAAATTTTAATTACTCTCCACAGAATTATCCTTTCTCGCGCACATTTCTCTGCTCTTCTTTTCTCTACCCTTATATGTACTATATAGAGTCTGACAGCTTGAATTATTACACTTTTTTGCAGAGCTCTTCATTTAAAACTCAGTCAGTCACAAGTTCATGTACTGGTCTTTGTTCAAAATATGGGGGCTACCTCAGTCCTGGAACAAAATTTTCGAAGAAAGAAACTATATGCCATTGGGACGCTTGATTTTATTTCGACCAATAGGCTAGGATAAGCATGATGAAAGGAAATTAAACTACCAACTTTATAAGAAAAACTAGATAGACATAATTTCGAGTTTACGGATGTTCAGTCTACTCATAAGTTGTCAGTGAGCATAACATAACTCGGTATATATTTTTATCATGGCTTTGACAATCGAATTTCATGAAAATCTTTAGCTAACTCTATGTATCTCTTCAAACAGGCACTTTTTTAACATTGCAAGCTGTACAGCACCTGCTGTAAGATTGACAACCTTGCTTGCTAATTTCTCTAGTAAAACGAAGGGACTCTTGTGTCATGGGTTACTCCACGATCTCCTTGCTAAATACGATTGTCAGTTGGACCTGCAGCTGAGGAATTTAATGTTGTGTTAACTTCAGATTTGTTATCTCTTCTCAAGACAGGAGAAGACCACGGTTGAGCTGAAAAACAGCTGTGTTAGATCATTACTTATTAAAGAAACTCTGTACGTCATTGGTAGAATGAGCCACTAGAAAACAACATAGCACAACGATAAGAAAGACTACCACAATTCTAGGAGGTCAAACAGACAACCAATTAGAAGAAAAAAGAAAGCTGTTCTGTAACCACTACTGATTACGATTGCAGGATATGTACAGTAACTCGAGCAACTGCAGTTTATTGATTCAACAGTCAACTAACCCAGAGTAGTATACACTGAACAAAGTATAGTGAAAAACCAGTTCAACATTACCACTCTCAATATTTAATACCTGGGACACTGGTCCACTAGCACACCTTTAATCTCCGTAAGAGAAAACTGTAGACACATTTCTCAATAGGGGGTGAATCTTATCAGAAGTCATCTCTATAAGAACAGTGACATTCTTACTAGACAGATCACTAAATAAACATCTTAAAAGCCTCTAATAATAGTTATCACTTCAATGAAAAACCAAAAGACATATTCATTTACACAAGTGTAACTGGAAGAGATAACAGCACTCGAAAGCATCAAAAAGTGTTAGTGCAGTAGGTTTCGACAACTGCAAACAGTTAACTTCTCTCCAGGTGGTTAGGAGAATCCTAACCAGTGAAGGTATTCCTGTCAAGAGAAATGAAATATACAATACCACAGTTCTAGAACCTCTCAACTTCACACAGTAATAAGACCGAGGTTTTTAAATTTTCATCAATTATATTACAAATGAAAAATTCTAATCTTAATAACAATATAGCACAGGTTTTGTATTAGGTTAGGTGGGCAGAGTACAGAATCTAGTGCATCAATATCAATAGCAAGTGTCATCATTTGTACGGAGAAACACGAAATATTGTTGCTAAACTTAACACGCAAGTGGTGAAACATACTCGAAATACACACGTAATGACCACAAGTACTGACATATTCAAACGGCTATACCTAGTTTAACACGCAGATAAGTTGGAATAAAACAGAAATTAACCGGATTACAACTGAAAAATGCAATATTATGCATCAAAATCTGCAGAGTCCTATACTGACAGTAAAGAGAGTTCACCAACTTTCGAAGAAAAATAAAAGCATGTGAAACAGAAACGACCAAACATGTGCACTGCATACTGCAACATATAAATTTGACAATCAACAACACATCATCTACTCGTAATAAGTCATTCATGAGCGTCTAGGCAATTCTTAACCCTAAAGTTACTGACAAACGAATTCATATTCTTCCCAGTAGGTAAATTTGACGTTTTTCAAGTAGTTTATAACAGAAGTGGCTTCTAACCACCAGCTTATAGACTTAGGTTATCGCGTATTTACAGTCCTACCTACTTAATGCTGGTAACTACCCGTGTATTGCCATTCATGAAAATATCGGGCTGTATTCATTTCCTTTACTCAGAAATGAATTCTAAGTTCCCTGAAACTACCCAGTCTGTGACATTTGGTTGAAAGTTATTCCGATCGAAACTTCACAAAGTTAAATTGCAAAGAATTGTCATGCAGATGAAATAACTGACGGATTCACATACTAATTCGAAACAAATATTTTGTCTTCTACAAAAATAAGCCAAAAACTACGTAGCCACCAATCCCAATTTGATGGAAGCTGAAGGGTCTTCAGTCTTAGTTAGTGCCTTTTTAAATTACCACCCAATGAAACGACAACGAAATTATGTTACTTATAGGAAGTAAATAAACCCCTCTAGGTCAGTGCAAAACATTTTAAACATACAATACCAATAACTCAGCTGTTAACACAGACCAACGTGGATGAATTTTACCTCGATAAATAAAAAACGTGTTTGCTTTTTCCACACTAAATACAGATCCGCTTTCGTCCCCCCAAAACATTTCAAATTATAGGAGAATAACTATGACCCTGAAAAATACAACATAGTCACTAAGCTTGCCAAGGCAAAAACGTGACAAGACACAGAATCGTAACTAAGAGACTATTTCTTCGTTATAACAGCAAACATGAAGAAAGTAACAGTGAAAAAACAGGCAATCGTTTCTTTGAAAGTAGAATGTGTGGAAATCTTTGTACAGTCAAATGATTCAGAAAATAACAAAACTTGAGCATTTCGAATGATCGAAAGACCGCAGAAACACACCGAAAAGATATGACAAGCCTTATTCGAAACTTTAATGTTTATCCTACGTTTTTTCACTTAATTACGCGAAGTAAACTGCTCAGATATTTTTCATTCAGAAAATTTGTTGTGATAAGAACTACACATGACAGTGAGAGAATGGAATAGTTCTAATTAAGTTTCAAAAAATTTAGCAGAACAAAAACAGAAATAGGTTGATAATTACTGAGTACATTTCTAACAAATCAGATGCATAAAAAAACATTTACACATACCTGGGCTAAATCTGACCTTTCAAACTGAGAGGAAACATTACCTCTAGAGGCATAAGGAAAACAACTCATTGTTAAGTGTCAGTGATTAGAAAAATTTATGTGTCTGAGATCCATATTGCAATAAACATGTAGAGAAGGAAAAATTAGGGGAAAGTCAGATTTTTCGACTAGCGCGCCAGCAATCCGATATACAATGTCCTTAACAGAAGTTCATTAAAACCTAAAATTTGTGATTCATATCTGAAGACTAACTCGAAGTATCGCACACCACTATTTTTGCCAGCATATATCATCTTGTACTTCCTACAATAAACGTTAACAATGAACCTGGGAATGCCTGCATTTACCGAGGATTCCCAATCTTGGTTGCATTCTGGTAAAAGTGAGTAGAGTTTGGTGTCGACATACGATTCTGAATCTTGTAAATAATCTTGCATGTCTAGTTTTCTGCAGCCTATAGCACATCCTTCGTAATTATGGAACCGAAATTATGGTAAAACAAGTAAACAGTTTTAAATGATTTGCTCACTTCAGTATAGGATATCCCTACCTATTTAAGATTGAAACTGATGATTTCCTAACATATTTGAATACTGTTTTAAGACAGGTGAGACATATCATCGGTCAGCGTTTCACCTGAAGTTTGCGGACCAGACATCTCAACGACTCGAACTATTTACCCGATAAAGTGGCATCGGCTGTAAGGTTCAAAGAGCAGCATAACCTACACAAAGGTGTATATTGCAAGGATCAACACAGGCTACAATTACTTATTAAGCTTTATCATCTGAATAATAATCTAGAGGTTATATCTTCGAACACTTTTTGATTCGTTTTCATTCTACACTTGCAATTAATTGGCCATGTGAAATAATTTTCGCAGTTGGCTTTAATTTATTGTCTCATCACACTTTCTCACAGAAATACATCTCTGTCTTTCCAGTCAGTCGTTCTCTGTCCTTCTTAAAGTAAGGATACTATTCAAATGATTGGCCGCATAGTCATGCTGTGAACTTTCGGTAGGGCAAACTCAAATCTAGTATTATTTCAGTTGCAGCACTCAATCAAAATATGTGTTTTTGACCAAAGAATCTTACAAGTAATTAAATCCTCAAACATATGGGTTTGCATACACTGAAAATGACTACCTAAAAAACTATAATGACATACCGATGTTCATTTTGATCTCAGCAAGGCGCCAGTGTAGTTCAGCTAGAGGATCTTGGAGTCCTTGGGTTCACCCACCATTACAGTCTAGAAGGCACTATATTTCACTCAGCTCAAGCCCATGTACTTCTAGTACATTTGTCGATTTCTCTTCTAGTCCACCACAGTCAGGAATTCGGCAAATGATACTAGGTAGCCTTGCCTTAATCCTGCCTTCACTTGAAATTCTTTGGTAAGTCATCCTTTGTGAATCACTTTAAATGTGGTACCGCCACTAAGGTGCTCATTAAGGTTTATAAATAAATGTCTACCCCACTTTAATCTGTAGTTTTGTAGTAGTTACTTCTCAGAGACGCTGTCAAAGCTTTCTCTCAAGTCAGAGAACTCGAGATACAGTTCTGAATGCTGTTGCATGCTTTGTTTGATAATGTGGCACAGCTTCGCCATTTAATCGATGCATGATTTGTTTTTTATAACCTAGTTCTCCGTCAAGGTTTCGCGTCCCTAATATCTTTTGGTATTTGGTACGGACAGGAACATGAACCAGTTCTAGTTCTTACAAAAGCGTAGGTCAATCTTCCTTGTTAGTTTGACGAGGCATCCTTCCTTTCAGTCCACAGATACCTCTCCATCCTTCACATGAGCATGTCCACCGGTTAATGCTGAAGCCGCGTTATAGATGCTTACAACTACCGTACCAATTAAGATAACAGTGTTTCATCAAACACGCCAAATACACTAGCATGATTCCATGAAAATTCAAAGACACATGTTACCTCTTGAAATTACTGTCTCCTTCAGTCCATTACATTGCTCAGATTTCATTTTCAAGCGATATTTTCTGATGAAAGTGCGGTAAATGTAATACTGTCCAAGCACATTACGCCACCGATATTATGTACAACAGAAGATGGAAAACGTCATTTGAAAAGCACAAAAAATATAATAATACCACCGTGCCTGTACAACTGGTATGTCCTACATAGATAGGAAATATATATTATTATTATTAACTATCACGTATATGCAATAAAGCCACAAGCTAACCACAGGTAAAACTCTCAGACGCATGAAAACTCTGTGCTTCAACACTGTATGAATTTTTACACTCACATTCCTTATCATCAGGTTATCCATGTCAAAAATATACCACTAAACGCGTAGATTATGCAAGAATGTCATTACCTATGAGCGATTAATCTCATTGTATGGTACTGAACGTATGTTAAGGCTTATTGTGGACATATCTGTGAGATGCGAAAAGACAAAACGTATTCTCGTTAAGTTTATAAACTTACGGGCTCTTTATCAATCAGCATTCGGTGATAACCTTCACTACTTAAGTCGACTGACTAGGCTGGTGGTATGAGGTCAAGCCCCACTCCACTTAGGCCCACTAATGTATTGCGTTCAACAAAATAAGCTATTTGGCCAGGATCAACCAAAAGCTCTCCAAAGAAGTTTCCCGAGAACAGCCTATAGAATCTTTCATATAACAGACTTAATTAGCTATCTCCGAATAACATTTTTTGCAAAGAACTATTCTATTAGCATATGAAATACATAATGTAGCACTTTGCCACATCGATATGCATTTACCAGCTCATTGTCCGTGCCATGCATACACTTGCACGATCACTAACTCGGTGAGCGGAGAAAGTCTGCCTTTGGTTCGATGACAGAAAGCCTTGTGAAATCTGGAAATCCCTTGGAGTCACAAGAAAAACTCTATCAAACCATTCAAACGGATTGAGATTTAGACCTCTGAGCATAGCTGGAACCCCAGTACTCAGAAGGATGAAGCCAACTGAGTGTATCTAAAACAACTACGCTCAGTGTTCATTTTTGTCACGGCCATTAAAACCAGTTTGTTTCCTCAGTAAAGTCGTTGTTATTTGGTTATGTTTACCACCCGAACTTCCTGCTTATTTATTATTTTAATCATTATTCTTTTCTGAACCCTTCACTGTCTCCTTTATCGCGCTTTCCTGCTTATATGGCCCCTCGATTCATCTACATATTTTCATTCTGAATCACCTTTCTAAGTTAATATGTTAGCCATCTTCCTGAAACTTCGGGAGATCAGTGAGGGTACTAACTCAAGTTACTATAATACCATGGTCTTAATACACCGAAGAATACAAATCAAATATAAGCAATGCCACATTTAAACATTCTCAAGGAGTTTCAATTCAGCATTCAGATAGTCATTAGGTTTCTGATACTGCCATTTGGGATGTTATCTATCACTGTTTGCAGTTGTCCATAGGAATCCTCCTTCTGTTGTTCCAAATTGTTCGTTGGTTGATTGTAACTTTCCTTCCTTTTGAGTTGAATGTCGTTGTCATCATCCTAGGGGGAGATTAGTCCCTACTGCACAACAAATGTGGATACTGTTGGTGAAATCATGATAGCCACTCCCTCAGTGTGTTTATGATTGTCGTCTGGGTGACGAGAGTAAATTATTGACTCTCCGGTTAACATCTGGGAGAGTCCATATGCGTTACATTTGTTTTCACAGTTTCCTCGCACTTCTAAACCACTTTTATTTATTTTAACACCCTTAGAAGCGTTCCTTACTTCATATATACTGCGAACATTCCATATTTTGTTGCCTATTTTTGTTTTCATCGAAAGAAGACATATCGGATGACTGGCTTCTCAAAGGCTTTTACCAGCTTTTGGCAATCTGTCTCTCTAATTACAATGAAGAATAAGTTTTTAACACAGCAAGAACAATTTTTGCAGAATAATCTGGTAACACCACTTATTACACTGGCTTCTGAACGGCTACTTACAGCCTGAAGATATTATTAAGTCCATGCACATAAATAAATTTAGCACACTTGCAATTTCCACGTGCCTTCAGTTGACAGAGAATTCAAGTTTAAACAGAAAATCAATCTATGCATACAATGGTAAAGGAGTTACGTAGTAAACACAAGAGGTTAAAGCTAAAGATTACGCTATCAAATGGGAGAGAAAGTAAGGACATCCAGTTAGCAGGGCTAGAAAAAACTGAGAACTGCTTTCTTCTGAACACACAAGTTGTGTTTCAGACGTTCTATAGATATAGGCTCAGAAGACTTGAGGAGAATTGGGCCATTTTGTCCACTCATAATTCTAAGGAATTTCACGGTGTTCACCTCGTGACCAGTATCGAAGAGATGCTTGGTAACAGCACTATTAAAAGAAAGGGTTTTTTGGTATGTACTCAGAAAATCAGAGGTTGTGCCCACCTTTCTCTTCTTCCAGTGTAACTGCTTCCGCCGATAAAAGTATGAATCTTCTGGAGAATAGCCTCTCCAAAGAATTTTTATATTTCTGTTGTGCCTTTAGATTTCTTTAGCAACTGGACTGATTTCCCGGGGCAGGGTTGCTAACCCCACGTCCAGTCTTCACTCCTTTCCCGGACTTGGGAACGATTAGAAGAATAGTACACTAGGCGAAGTTAACCAGCCACCATCGCAAACAAATCGCCTCAATTGATATTTATCGTGTATTGCATAAGTACGCTGGTGGGCAGCTGAAGCTGAGTGGCTGATTCGGACAATGGGCATTATTTATCGTTTGTATTCCCTGATTTCTAACCACCTACTGATTTGCTGTATGGTTTATGGGGTGTGCCGTGAAGTGCAGAGACCTTGCAAAAGAACTTATGCACCAATCCAGTACAGTTTGACATTTGGAGTCATCCCGACTAGAACATACTACCATTCTTACCACGAACGACAGCTTTCTGCTTGTGAATCTTCGGTCCATAAACTGAAGAGTTTTTAGAATCCTGAAATGATTCTTATTGTAACTTAACTATTGTCTGAAGATGGTAAACAATGCTCACTTAGGAAGCCCACCGCTTTCACGGCTAATATCATTCCGTTCGCTTTATTTGTCTGCTTCAA